CTCACTGTTTAATTTTTTTGGATTGGACAGCTTGGACCAATAGCGCTTTGCCATTGGTGCAAACCATCCACGGAGCTCACACCTCTAACACAGAGTAGAGGCTGTGACAGCTCTTGCCTCACCAAGTTAGGTTACAGAAGCAGTAGGGAAGCCCGCTGCTGTGTAACCTAACTTAGCTGTCAAAAGCCAGATGAAGCACCACCTGTAATTAACAGGCAGCTCTCCGTCCATGACAGGTTACACAGCGGGGAGGCTTTCTCTTCTCCAGCTTTCTGGCCAATCAGGAAGCTGGGCGCCGTGTAATGACATGTTGCCTGGCTTCCTGATTGGCCGGGAAGCCGACTCCATGCTCCCTCGTCAGCCAATCAGGAAGCCAGGCAGCGTGTAAAGTCACGCTGCCCGGCTTCCTGATACCGGGACCTCAAGTATCGGGCCAGGCATCGGAGCATTTGGGCGAGTACTCGTACTCGGCATCGGCACAGATACTAGTATCGGTATTGGTGCATCCCTAATTAACACTATGGGTATATTATTATATAATCTGGATGTATCAGTCACGTACCGTGCCTTCTGTGCTGGGTGAGGCATCCCTCAGCCCACCATAGCTCTGTCCTGCCAAAGCTCCGCTCCCAGCTCAGTAACAAAGCTGTGTGGGGAGAAGGAAGGGAGGAGCCTCCCTGTCCCTCACTTGCTCGTCACTTGTCAGGCATTGAGATCAATGTCCTCACTGTTTAATTTTTTTGGATTGGACAGCTTGGACCAATAGCGCTTTGCCATTGGTGCAAACCATCCACGGAGCTCACACCTCTAACACAGAGTAGAGGCTGTGACAGCTCTTGCCTCACCAAGTTAGGTTACAGAAGCAGTAGGGAAGCCCGCTGCTGTGTAACCTAACTTAGCTGTCAAAAGCCAGATGAAGCACCACCTGTAATTAACAGGCAGCTCTCCGTCCATGACAGGTTACACAGCGGGGAGGCTTTCTCTTCTGTGTAACCTGTTACAAGCCGCTCTGAATGGAGAAAAAGCTATCAGCTTCAGACTGAAAGCGGACACCTTTTTTCTTCATAATAGTAGGTGAGGCTCTGCCGCACCTGCTTCCCCTGACCACACGTCCCTGATGTACATATATAAGTATTGTGAGCAGATTAATTTAGAACAAAAATATTGTACATAGATAATGTATATACTTTATATTTTTTATATTGAAAACAGTTTCTTTGTGGGATATACTATGACTATGGAGATACAGTTCTACAAGTGTAAACCCCAAAGCCAAATGTAGATATCTGTGGCAGCATGCATCAGTGTTTATAGATTGCTCCTGCTCACAGTTTTTGTAGAATGTTTTCAGTGTGTAACAGCATTGTAGAGGATGCTTCCTTTGTCAGGAACACAACACTTAGCCACTGCGCTATAAGCAGTGGTGTTGTTAGCCACAACGCACGTGTCTTCAGTGAAACATATGTCATTAAACTTATAAGGTGGTTGGAGGGATATTTTGCAGTACTGACATACCACTCACCCATGGAACATGCAGTGGGCAACAACAGATATAGATCGACACGAGCAGGGGTAGGCAAACTCTAGCCCTCCAGCTGTTGCGGAACTACAAATCCCATGTGGCATTGCATGATTCTCATAGCCACAGGCGTGACTCCCATAGACAGATGCCTAAAGGGATTTGTAGTTTCCCCACGCAGAGATTGTATCTGATTGAATGCACTCACTCTTTCCAACCGTCACCTTTGTTAAAAGTCAATGTTGAGCCAGGTGGCATCGGAAAGGCCACCCACAGATTGAATTTTGGCTAATCCAGGGATTAGGGAAAAATAAAGCCATGTATTGCCATCTTAGGTCTTTAATTCAATAGGTAGTAAAGCCAGTATCAGGATATCAGGACAGAGGCAAGCAACCTTTAATAATGACTTCTATTCCATCAGGTTTGCTTTAAAGCAAAACTCAGGGCAAATCAAATCTTAACCCTTGAAGTGGGGCTACCTCCAGACTGCAAAGTTAAGTGCTCATTTTGTGTAGGGAGCGAAAATAACAAAGTTATACTCACCCGAACCGCTATCCCGGCTGACTCCTAGACCAGTCCCTTCAGCCTTGCTCGCCCTCCGATGGCCTAAAGTTCTGTGAGTCATTACGTCCAATACAGTATATAGGATGTTAGGACGCCGAGGGAAATTCCATCACTGAAGCGGAGGAGTAGACAGGCTGGAGGAATGATCCTATGAGCCAGATGGGATCAGGATTTGGATGAGTATATCTTTATTATTTTTGTCCCTAGGCAAAACAAGCATTTAACCCTTGCAGTGTGGGGGTAGCGCCACAGTGGATCTGGGAGCTGTGTAGTGGTGTACCTGCAGCATACACGTGTTAGGGTCTCTAAAAATCCTCCACTTCAAGCTTTATCTCTATATATGTATATTGTATATATGTTCCAGGTCAGAGAATAAGAAAGAAATGAATCCAAAGTATCAGCATACAAACAATCTCAAAACAAAGTTCAGCAATGGATCCCTAGCCTTTTTGTTGCCTGAGGCGGCAGGGGAAATGGACGTCCCACCAAACTCACGGTAACCAGCTGTGTCACTGGTTTCCAAGAGCTCAGCAGGATGCCAGCTAGAGCGTCCCAGTTTGCTAAGAGCTGGGTGCAGAGGTGA